CATAGCAATTTAGTAGATTATGCCTTTGTAAACAAAGATGAAACATTTATCTTTTCTCCCTGCCTGATCCATCCAAATTTGGAAACTCTTACTGATTGTTATTTCCATGGCAATATAGTTATTTGAATAAGTTCAGTAAGAATTTGTTCTTCTTATAACAGGACACAATTGGAAACACTGGTTATATTAGGCTTTGACTGGAGTGTCATGTGTGAGAATGGTGTGCATAGCATCAGAGATGACCAGGTTTAAGAAACTAAGGTGGACTTTAAGGAGCCAGTGCTTATAAAACCTTCCTGGAAAACCCACCTGGCACCTGGCTTACAGGATTCCTAGCCTTACAGGTGAGTAAGGAAGGCTACCTCCTGGCAGGCCCAGAAAAGAGGATATTTGGGGGACCTTGAGAAGGAATTCATCCAAATCTGTGGGTACTGCAAGTGAAGTCTGATGGCAAATTCTCCTAGCCTTGAGCTTTTTAAAAGTCCAATCTGAGATTCCTAATAAAAGTTCCAGTAAAACAAACTTAAAAAGGCCTATGTTGTCAATTACCATTCTTGCTACATTTACATAAACAACCAAGCCAAGTTTGATGAGACTAGACTTGTTTTGCAAACAAAAATAGTCTTACCTCAATTATCTTTGATAAAAGTGGGGGTGATTACAGAGAAATTTTATGTTTCAATGGAAAACTATAACCCACCACTGTGGATTATCAGATTCTAGTCCTGTTCATTGTCTTTGAGCTATTTTCACCTCTTTGAAAGCTGAATCCTGCCATCTTGTGCATTTTGTCAGCAATTAACTTTTCCAACTTCCACCCTCCTGACTTGGCACCATTAAGAACTAAAGCTGCCTGTTTCCTAAAGCCCTGCAAGCTGAAGGGAACCTTAAAGGCTTTAGCCAACAGTTTGGGCCACTCAGGAAGTTCACCAGAACATGGTCCTCTGAGCTCCAGGAAATGCCCATGACTGTGAGATTACCACGACCATCGTGACTCTGCAATCTAAAGACACTTCAAGACCAACATGTAGAAATCATTTGGACTGACTCATCTCTGAACTCAAGAAACTGAGTTTATAATCCGCTTCAACTATTAGTTTTTGTTTTTCCTTTTCTTCCTCCATAAATCTATGCCTTCTTTCCCTTTGCATACCTCTTACCTCCCACCTTCTAACCTGAATCTTTTCTCCACAACCACTATCTCAGCTTCTGCTTCTTGAAACACCCTGGGAAGTTTCAGATGGGGGAAATAAAGGGGTCCAGAATACACCACTGTGGCATAACAATTGTTTTGAGCTAAGGGCATTTGAGAATCAGAGGCAGGAAGAGGCTTTTCTGAACTCCCTTTATCTGCCTAAAAGTAGAACTTCCCCCAAAGAACTCAACTGTTACAAATCCTCTCCCTGGGACTTTGGGTACCACAACTAAGCAGACATTGTCACAAAACTATTATACCTCCCTTCTTTCTCCCAAGGGCCCATTTATCCTTTCTGAAAGTCATTTGTTTTCCCCTAAGTGCCCTTTCTCCCCTCCCCTTATTAAGATGGCATACAAGCCCCGAATTCTGCTTTTCTCTGAGTTCTTGCATACAGATGTGAAAAAAAAAAATCTACATTTTCTCTTGCTATTCAGTTTAATTCACAGGCCCCTAACTACTGGATCTAAGAGGGTAGAAGAGAGGTTTTTCCTCCCCAATGGGAGAAAATGTTAAGTCAAGTAGCATGCTCACATGAACCTCAGCAAAAGTGGCAACGTCTCATCTAGCAACTACAGTTAGACATTTAAGTTTCCTTATTCTTAAAGTAAGTCCAACAGTTTAAAAAACAGCGTTGAAGTTTCTGCAGTTTCCCATTCAGGTGGGTCGTGACTTTTTTTTCACTTTACAGCCCCCTCTACAAAGGGGTTTAGCTTTTAGCCAAATTTTACTCATTATTTCCAAATGTTTACAGCATAGTGAATAAGCTGTAATTTTAGATATTGAAAAACAAGACAAAGTCCCCAAACTAATTATATTATGGCACTGATAAGATGCAAAATGTAAGACACAGGTAGATCTACAAATTGCCACTTACTTGCAAATTCCAATTATAACTGATTCTCTTTCATATACCGGTTTTATATAAATACTTATCCAGTAGCACGTCATAAGCCACAGGGTTAAAAGAATTTCTTCTGTCATGTAAATGTGGAATTGAGAGCTAAAACTCTTCAACTTAGCAACAAGTTACTTTTTTCAAGAGCAAAGTAATATGGAACCCATAGGACTCATAAGAAAACCTTAAGCTAGGGGTGCCTGGGTGGCTCAGTCGTTAAGCATCTGCCTTCAGCTCAGGTCATGATCCGAGGGTCCTGGGATCGAGCCCCTCATCAGGCTCCCTGCTTGGCAGGAAGCCTGCTACTCCCTCTTCCACCCCCGCTGCTGTGTTCCCTGTCTCACTGTGTCTCTCTCTGTCAAATAAATAAATAAAATCTTAAGAAAAAAAAAAGAAAACTTAAGCTAAATCATTATACTTTAAGGGGCATTGGCTAAATTCTGAAGGAACTGGCATTAAAACAGAACTTAGTTTTGGGGTGCATGGCTGGCTCAGTCAGTAGAACACATGACTCTTGATCTCCGGGTTGTAAATTTGAGCCCCACATTGGATATAGAGATTACTTAAAAATAAAATCTTTTAAAAAAAATAGAACTTAGTTTTTTCAGGCATTTAAAGATTTTCATGTGTTGCATACCCAAAGTTTTTGGTCTCTTGATATTGACTCCTACCTCCTTCTCCTTAGTATAAGAAAAACCTTCTTAGTGTAAGGAAAGCCTAGTTTAACAGTCCTGGAAATTGTGCATTTAGGGTAAACCATAATATTTTATCTAATTCTGCTATACCAAATACCTCTATTTGGGGTTCTCATTTGTAAATTATTCAAAACCTAGTGTTTCTCATCAATTTATCACCAATCATCAATTTATACAATATCGCAAGGATAAAGATCAATTCAGGTGTTGGCAACGTTTCATGAAAGTACCAAGGTGGGGAGGGGTGGGTAGAGTGACCAACCAGATTAGTACAACCACCTTTCATGTAGTTTTTCCCTAAAAAAAGAGTCAAATTGCTTTCAATTTTCTGTGAAAATGGCAGGATATTAAGATGTGCAAGCAAACTGCTTCTTTCATATCCTCTTAAGGTATTAGTATTTTCTGAAAGATAATTTGCTATAGGACCCACAGAGGAGCACCTTTCACATCAGACGGTATGTAAACAAACTTTCTGCCAAGAAAATAAAGGGAAGGGGGGGTAGTAATCTAAGCTATAATGCCCACCCAGAATCCTAGAAGGGAAAAATAAAGCCATTGAAATAAAGTCAATTTAGTGATGTCCTGAAGGATCAGCAGTATTTCCATAATACTCACTATGGCCCAGAAACAAAGTCTTGAGTGAGCAAATACCTAGGCTGCTAGAAAGACAACCATATGTGAGGCACAGACTAACTTGGAGAGTTCAGAGTCTGGATTCAGTCTCTGCTTTCTGTTCAACACTTCTAAAACGCTTTCTGCTTTCATGTTGCTGTTTTCACAGCAGAAACAAGGGTCTCTGAAGAACTGGCCACAGCATTACAAATCATCCAGTGGTGCCCATGCTTCTCCACTGAGGTGTTGGACAACTTTCTTCAAGTGACTACAACTGCTCATTCAGCAAGCCACTGAAAAGGACCCCAGCGCCAGGGCGGGGGGGGCGGGTCCCCCACACCTTATCTGACTGTGATACACAGAAACTCAGTTGCACCACACCTAGTTGCACTGTCAAGAAGGCTGTGCCTTTGTTGCTGTATATAAATTCTTTACACAGAAGTGTAACGTGAATGAAAAGTACAAAAAGACAATGGTGTGAAACAAATGAACTTATTAAAAAAATGTAAGACCTCGTGGCAAAAGAACAGTCTTATAGGCTGTGTGTTGGAACAGCTTAAGATTTAGATTTTCTTAAGGCACAGCCAAAGTTCTTTAGATTTGTTTTGGCAAGTGTTTTTCTTGCTGGAGGATCATAAAAGTAGGCAGAATTATCTGCCTAATGGCATGCTGGCATGCTAAGGTAAGGAAAATAGCCCTTCGACTAAAACTAAGGCTAGTAGGTGAAGAAAAATGACAAAATTTGTATTGGTTTAAATTTGTACCAAGGAGACTTACTGGATACTGGAGAAATGACAGGAGTGTTTTATACCTTTGCATAAGAAAAAAAAATGATTTTCCTTTTGAAGTTGTAGCTTCAGGATTTAATCTGGGTCAATGTCACCATGTGGTAAAAACAATCTGGATTTTATAATGAGCAGGAAAAAGTTGCAAAAATGCTAAATGGTATGGAGCTACAAATATGGTGATACATCAGCAAAGGGGTGAAATCAGGTTTTTACACTAGACAGGTGTTAGGTTTGTGAAAAGTGATTCAATTTGTTATACATTCAAACCCAAATTAGAACTAGCCGCCTTACAATGATATTTCACTGCCATTTCTTAGCACTTTAATTTTGGTGAGTTCTGTTACAAGTTCAAGGAAGTCAGAGCTGTTCTCAACTCTTATATCTAGTTCCTTCAAAATATGAAGGGGCAGATATTCTAATAAGCTTTAGGTAAATAGGATACTGATCATTTTAGCTCTAGTTAACCTGAAACATTTCCCTGGGCATAACCATAGCCTCTCTGAAAACTGGAAAAAAATGGCATAACTTAAAAAGTCGGAGTGTAACAACATTCACTGGTAACTTACAAATAAGTTAGGCGAAGAGGATGGAATATGGGGGGTAGGCCAGACCACCAATCATGTTCGCCTAGCCATAAAACCAGTGACAACTTACAGATCTGCAAAGATCAAAGAAAACTGAGAAACCACCCTTAACTGGCTGGAGCTATAACATTCTACAGGGGTCCTCGTGGTCTTCATAGATATTACAAGGTGACCCACCCACTCTGATTGGCTGTGCTGCACACAGAAACCCCAGAGCCCACTGCAAATCTGGGATACGGCAAATATGGAACCTAGTAGCAGGTTGGAGCTTGCTTATGGACATACTGACTACCACAAAGGCAGACAGTGAAGAACTATCAGAATCCCACAGACAGCTCTTTTTCAAAATTTTGGAAAACCATTCATGAGGTTACTAGGACAAGAATATAAATCAAGGCTGACACCTCTAAGTGCTGGTTCCACAGCTGGCCATTTGGATAAGGGGTTTTGCCAATACTTAGCTGTTTTGATTATTTAATCAAACAATAAGCAAAGTATAATTCACATGCAACCCTTATCAAAAAAGGGAAAAAGGTTAATTTCCTATGATCCGCATAAACTGTTAACCTGTTAAGAAAAGCCTCATTTTTCCAGCATTCATGTGTATACACACACATCATGTCTGTTTCTTTTTAAACATCTTAGGGTGAGGGTGAGGAGGAGAAGAACAATGAGATAAAGACACAAGCTAAACATCCAACAAGCCCCATTCCTTATTCTCTGTGTGACTGGCAGCATTACTCAGAAAGTCACTCCTTTACTCTGATGGTCATAATATATTTGAATGTGTAGATCTTTAAGGATTTGCTTATTCATTTGGCCAGGTGTATGGTAGGTGCTGTTTTGTTTTCTTGGTGGAATAATTCATCAGTGCTTCCTGAGAGGCTCAAACAGGATCACTGGCCAGATTCCGAAGAGAAACTGTTTGGAAACAAGTTAGGACAAAATGAAAGAAGGTAACTGCTGCGTGTTATCCCTGAAAAAGAACCAATGAGCTAGGTGTGCTAACAACTAGTAGCCTGAGTATGGCATAGTCTTTCCAGACTTTCACCAGATCTCAGAAATTATTTTTATTTAATTTATTTAAATGGATTAAGCTTCTATTTTGTCAGGCATGGAGCTGGGCATTTTAATCATCTCAGATTCTTAAAACAACTCTGTAATGTAGCTATTGACAGCTCCATTTTATTGTTGAAAAAACTAAGGCTTAAAGAGAACAGACTTGCCCAAGGTCATAGAGCAGTATGTGGAAGACCTGGTTCAAGATTCAAGAGCATCTGTTTCCAAAGCTTGTACTCTATCTGCTACCTTTCCAGCCCATCCCCTTCTTCCACCTGTAGCCCATCCTCTCAATACCAAACCTCTCCTAACACATCCACACATGCATGTACACACCCACACACACCCACCCCTAGAAAGGGAACTTACCTTTACTTTTGGCCTGTATCTCAGGTAAAGAGTTCTTGTATATAAACTGAAAGAAAAGGGGAGGGGGGGAAAGCTCTTCAGATTAATTTTTAATTCATACAAACTTTCTTACTGACAAATTTAACCATAGTGCCTCTGTATACACACAAAAAAAGCAATCCTAGTAGATTCTTTGTTCATTTAGCAACCATTTTTTGAGCAGCTATTCTATGCAGAACACTTGGTAAGATGCTAAGGAAGACAGAAATGAATACTCAGACTGTGACCTCAGGATGTTTGTAGTTTAGTAGGGAGCACAACACTCATACTTGATGATTCATATCATAATTGCCAGTTTCATCTTTGAAGATAATGGTAGCAAGGATTAAAGTATTCTTAGAATATTTTGGAAGTAGTTATATCAGCTCTACAAGGATTACAATACAGGTATGAGATAATCAGGAAGGTAATGAAAGTCTTCCTCACAGGAGCCTTTAGAATAAGTAACTTCTGAAGATGAGACTGGATTCTAAATCAGTGCATATGGCAAGTAAATAACTTGGCTCAAGATTGTTACACAGTTGTGAAGTGATGGAGCAAAGCTCCAAGGTCAGATATTTTTACTTCCCTGTGTTAACTCTGTTTGAAACAAACATTTGTATAGTATTTAAGTCTTAAAAGGCACATGTGTATATTAAATTCTCAAATCATCCCTCTGAAATATTATTTGCATGCTTCATTCAATGAGGTACCCAAAGAATCAAAATTTCCATAACTGAAGCTTGAATATCCAAGCTTCTTTTATTTTAGTTATTTAGGATGAAATATGTCTAAAACATATTCTATCTTCTCTGCCTCCTTAAAAAAAAAAAAAGTAAAACATTTTAACATTAATAGAAAACAAAACAAAAAAAGTAAGTCAAAACCCTGCCACCAAATATAGTCAAAATGCTTCATTTTTTTCTGTATTTACTTTAACCCTTGTCCCCATACAAATTAGTTTTACACAGGGTTAATAATTACCTACATATGATTTTAGTGTTTCATTTAAAAATCCAAATAATCCAAATATCTTTCTATGTTGCTATAAAATTTTCACATTTATAATTTTAAATGGCTGAATAAAAGATATACTATAATTTATAATTCTACCTTATTAGGTAATTTATTTTTCTTCTATCATTATTGTTGCCTTGCTAATTAACACTGTTATAAACATATTTGAGTTTACACACACATTTTCATTTTCATTTTTCTTTAGGATAAATTCCAGGGAATATAATAACTGGGATAAAAAAATATAAATATTTCATTTTCACAAACACATGTAGTATCAAATTTCTTTCCAAATGGGTTACATCAATTTACACTGATGAGTAATGTGTGATGATACCATTTTACTGCAACAAAATACAGAAGGAAATTTCAAAATACTATAGAGCTCATTTAATGGATATAAAAAATATCTTATTGTTTTATTTAAAAAAAAATTTTAAAATAGGTAATACAATCATTTGTTAAAGATCTGGAAGAGTACATAGGAAAAAGATCTGTCTCCTACCTGGTACCTTTAGCCCAGAGAGAAATGCTAGTACTTACCAGTTAACATATACCCTTACAAAGATAATTAAGTATTTATGAGCATATATGTATATTTAGCCTTCTCTTTTCACAAACATGGATAGCCTACTGTTTTAGAAGGTATTTTGATTACCAGTTAGATGATCAGTTTTCTATTTGCTTATTTACACTAAATATCTCAACCCCCTCACCCCCACCATCATCTGGAGGCTTGGCCTTCCCCTCTCCTTTTTTATTTTTTTAATTTAAAAATAGTTTTAAACTTACAGGAAAGTTGCAAGATTGATATGAAGAATTCCTGTATCCCCGTCTCCCAGATGCCAAATTGTTATCATTTAACCACATCTGTTTTACACACACACACACACAAAGTGTATATATTATAGAGTCTTTGAATGACATGATGCCCATCACCTCTAAATATTCCAATGTGTATCACCATAAAACAAGGACAGTGTCCTAAATTACTATAATACAACCCTTCCACTCAGGAAATTAATACAATACTAACATCCAACTCAAGACTTCATTCCAATTTTTTTTAAAGATTTTATTTATTTATTTGACAGAGAGAGACATGCGAGAAAGGTAACACAAACAGGGGGAGTGGGAGAGGGCAAAGCAGGCTTCCCACCGAGCAGGGAGCCCGATGTGGGGCTTGATCCCAGGACCCTGGGATCATGACCTGAGCCGAAGGCAGACGCTTAACGACTGAGCCACCCAGGCGCCCCTTCATTCCAATTCTGTTGACTGTCCCAATAATTTCTCTTTTTTCCTTTCTGATCCAGGTTGCTATCCAGAAACATGCACTGCATTTGGTTTTCATATCTTAACAATTTTCTTCTAACTAGAACAGTTCTTCAGTCTTTCCTTGTTTCATGAACTTGATAGTCTTAAAAAGTATAGGACTTTCATTCTGTACAAGGACCTTCAACATAGGTCCGTCAATATTTCCTCATAACCAGACCCAGGCCATGCATTTTTGGCAGGAATACTACAGAAATGATGCTGAGCTCATTTCAGTGTATTTTATCAGGAGACATACCATAATGACCTGCTCTGTCATGGCAATGTTAACCTTAAATGCATGGTCAAGTTGGTTGCTGCGAGTTTTCTTCACTGTAAAGTCACCATTTCCCCCTTTGTATTAGTATTTCATGTGGAGATATTCTAAATTACACCAATATGTGTTCCTCATCATACTCCCATCTATCAGCCAGAGCATCCATTGATAAATAATACGTATCAACTATCTTTAAGATGGTTGCCAAATGGTGATCATTTGTGACCACTGTTTCTTCCACATTTGTTATGGGGCATTCTTGTGTAAGGAAGAGCTTCCCTTCTCATTTATTTGTATTAGTATGCACTTATAGATTCTCATTTTATTCAAAGGGTTGTAACTTGAAATTCTTGCTATTTAATTTTGATATTCACACTATCTCAGGTTTAGAAGGCCAAAGCTTGCCTTTCAGCCTTCACAGGGGTTCACAGAGCTAAGCAATACATGTATGTGTAAGCATATGTATACATATATATTTATAACTTATACAACACACATACATCTAACTTTTTCCATATCTGTGTGTACATTTATGTTGGTGTCACACACTCAGGAGTTCATACTAATACTTTTTTTTTAAGATTTTTATTTATTTATTTGAGAGAGTGAGAGAGCACAAGCGGGGGAGGGAGCAGCAGGCAGAGGGTGAAGCAGACTCCCCACTGAGCAGAGCCTGATGCACGGCTCAATCCCAGGACCCTGAGATCATGACCTGAGCTTAAGTCTGACGCTTAACCGACTGAGCCACCCAGACACCCCTAATAATTTAAATTCTAATCTAACCCCCTCAAGATTCCATCTAGCTTTCCCTCTTTCCATATTTGTAAATCCCTTCTGAGACAGTGGGGAAATCAGGCTTTTGTTATCTCCAATATATTTACTTATTGTTTAATCTGTGAATTTACTTGTTCAGTGTAACCCATTTCCTAACTTCAGCCACCTCCTCCACCCACCCCGCCATATCCCTTCCCCTCGTCACTCTGCTTCCCTGCACTGCACAGCAGCCACTTCCCCATCACCACCAGATCTGACCTCCTTTCTTCATTCCTCACACACTGAAAGTGGCCACCACGGCACAGCACTTCTCCCCCCTCAGTACCCCACCTCCCTGAAGAGTTTCCATACCAGGAGGAGAGAAGGCAAAAGGGAAAGGGAAACAGAAAGGAGAAGGTGAAAAAGAGAAGGGGAAAGCGGGAACCTAACGTTTAAAAATAGTGTATGATGAGTATACTTTCCCTTCTTATTTATTATAGAACTTTACGACTGTATTGTATTACACTGCAGTAATGTCCTCGGGACTTCTTGGGCAGTGTTAAGGTGCTAAGTTTATAATTCTCAGGCTCATTTTATAGTTATTATTTCTCCTCTTCTAACATTTTTCAATTTCCTCAAACATTTCCTATCCCTTCCCTTTTAAATTAGCTATTTCTAATGTGCTATGGGCTGAGAATCCAAATAATCAATGTAGTAACAGGTTGCAAAAGGTAAAATAAATATACTTACAGTCAGAGTTTAAGAGCTCGTCCATGACTAATAACCTTGAGCTCTTTAGAGCATGAATTCAATGATTCTTATTTAGCTGCCCAGAAGTTCTTTGTCTATAATCCTCAGAGTTATATTTTAGATAATTCAGGTTGCCTAAATAAATTGATCTCAAGAGAGTTGAGATGCAAATGTTATTTTGAGGAAGTATTCTACAAATTTCAGTTGAGTAAATTTTCACATTGGTTCAAAGGAAAATTTTCTTCCCCTTTCTAGAAATATTTCAGCTCTCTCAACTCTTGAGAAGAATTTGAGATTAAACATATTCTGACCGCCTAGTAAAGAGATCAATAGGTACACATTCATTCATTAAATCATTTAATAATATGAGTGCTTACTATCTGATAGCCATTGTTCTAAGCATTGGAGATGTAGCAGTGAATAAGATAAAGTCCCTTATCTCAAGAAACTCTAAGTCTAGCTGGTGGGGGCAAACAATAAAGCCTGGTAGGTGGAGAATGATATGGAGGCATTATTTGAATAGTGTGATCAGAGAGAATTCTAATTTCATTTTGGTTGTAAATGATTAACCTCCAACAGACTCTTGAGCAAGGGAAGAAAACTGGCAACCAACTTATCTCAGGGAAGGAACAAATTAAGCTGGGAACTTCTGATACACCTGCTTTTCCAGTCTGGTACTTAGGGGATTTGGCTGCTTTTTCCCCTCTAAATTTGTTCTCTATAAACAAAAATATGTTGATAAACAACAACAAAATATGTTGATAAACAAAGAAATGGAAATGTTTACTCTACTTGCTCTAAAAAGGAGATGAATGATTACTTAAAATGTAGGTCATGTCAGAGATCAGTTAGTACAACCATCTCACTTTAAGGATGAGAAAACTAGGGACACCTGGGTGGCTCAGTCGGTTAAGCGTCTGCCTTCGGCTCAGGTCATGATCCCAGGGTCCTGGGATCTAGTCCTGCATTGGGCTCCTTGCTCAGTGGGGAGCCTGCTTCGTCCTCTCCCTCTGCTTGCCACTCCCACTGCTTGCTCAGTCTCTCTCTGACAAATAAATAAAACCTTAAAAAAAGAAAAAAGGATGAGAAAACTAACTAAGCTTCAGAGAGGGGAAGGGACTTGCTTAAGGTCACCCAGGGGCAGAGGCAAAGCTAGAACATAAGTTCCTGATTTTTGCCTCTGACATTTTATATTTACGACATCCTATTTGAAGGGTAAAGGAACAAAATACTTCAATACTATGCTAAAAAAACTCTCTTTCCTACCTGAAAAGGATGTGAAGATAAGAACCAAGGCCAGTTAAAATATGCCACCATGCATGAAACTGTGTGGCAACACCTATGATAGGTGGCACCTTCTTTCGAAAGTTCCTGTGTAAAGAGGGGGAAAGAAATCACCGTATTATTATTTTTTTAATATTTAGCAACTAATGCTGACAGCCTTTGAGCAATTTGAAATGTTATTCTCAGATATGGCAATTATTTAATTTCCTTAAGTCCGCTGTAGTCTGCATATTGTTTTCCAAAGTATATTTTGAGGAATAGTGTTCCTAGCAGAAGTTCCATGAAGAAATGATTCTGTGTTCAAAGAAAACATAGAAAATAGTACATAGTTTATTGCCCTCTTGGAAACTGCAATGTCTATTAATAGAATGAAGGCTTTGAGAAGTCCTATCAGAACTATACAAGAGTTATTTTCATTTTTTTTAAGGTAATGTACTAATGGACAGAACCCTTTCTTCAAGTAATATCTTACTAACACTTTATGGAACAAGTGTTTCCTGGAACACAATTTGGGAAACATTGGTCTACTTAGCTATTCACTCAAGAAACCAGATACATGCTTTTCCTTGCCCTACACACATTCATCATCTTGATGAGCACCATCCAGTCTATAAAGTACTTTTGTAAATACTATTTCACTTCATAGTGAGTCTTTGAGGTGGCTATTAATTAGTTTTGCTTTACAGATGAGCAACCTAAAATTCAGAGACTGGGTTGCCCAAGTCACTCAGCCAAGGCGCAGCTGAGTCTCAAATTCTACATCTTTCGATTAAGTGTGTCCCATATTAATATTTTCATTTATTAGAAGGGAAAAAAATCAATGTAAAACTATTTCTCTAGATATCCCATGAATTTTTGAGACAATTACCATCTCTAATAACCTACCTTATTTCTTAGTGGCTCTTACCCAGAGGAGGATGACTTATTTCAGCAGTGTAAATGCTCTCTCTAATGGGGCTTCTGCTGGGTAATACGGATTCAGAACCACTCATTCAGAACTTAGTTTTCTAAGCAAGGTATATTACTTGTTTGTTTGTGTACATTTAAAATATATATTTGCTTATTATGGAAAATTTCACACATGTGCAAAAGTAGGCAAAATTATAATGTACCCATTATCCAGCTTCAACAATTATAACTTACAGCCAACCATCTAGACTCTCATCCACTTCTCCCCTTCCATATTTTGAAGTAAATCCCAGATATTGCATCATTTTAACTTTAAATATTTCAGTATGTGTCTCTAAAAGATTAAAACCTCTTTAAAGGGGTGCCTGGGTGGTGCAGTCGATTGAGTGACTAACTCTTGGTTTCCACTCAGGTTGTGATCTCGGGGTCATGATCTCAAGGTCATGAGATCAAGCCCCAAGTAGGGCTTCACACTGAGTATGGAGTCTGCTTACGATTCTCTCTCCCTCTCCCTCTGCCCCTCCCACTTGTGCTTGTTCTCTCTAATAAGTAAATAAACAAATCTTAAAAAAAACCTCTTTAAAACATAACAATACCATTTTCACATACAAAATATTAACAATAATCCCTTAATATCACAAAATATTCAATTACTGATTAAAGTTCCAATTCTCATAAGTTTAAAATTTTGTTTTGCAGTTTGTTTGCTTGAATCAAAATTAAAAAAAAAACAACACACTGCATTTGGTTGATACAGTGTATCTCTTAAGTCTCTTATTTATTTTTAAATATTTTCTTTCCTCTTTCTTTCTCTTTCCTTCCTTCCTTCCTTCCTTCCTTCCTTCCTTCCTTCCTTCCTGAGAGAGAGAGAGAGTGCGCCCGTGGGGCGAGGGGCAGAGGGAGAGAGAGAGAATCCCAACTAGACTCTTTGCTGAGCGCAGAGGCTGACACACAGGGCTCCCTCTCACCAGCCCACGATGATGACCTGAGCCAAAATCCAGAGTCGGACACAACCGAATAAGCCACCCAGGCGCCCCTTAAGTCTCTTTTAATCTCTATGTTCCTCTTCTCTTTCTTACCCCTCTGCCATTTATCCTGTAGATTTCCCACAGTTTGAATCTTACTGATTGCCTCTCTCTGGTGCTTTTCAACATATGTGTTTATGCAAAACTTTAGGGCACAGAATTTTGAGTTGGAAGGACCCACTAGTTTAACCTCTTCAACGTGTTCATTTTATGTAAACTGAGGCCCAGAAAGATAATTATCTTAGTGACAGACTAAGATCCACAGACCCAAAATTCAAACTCTAGTCAATACAAAATTGCTGACAAGATGGTAAAAGAAACACTTGCCTTTCTTAGAAAATACATTAAGTATATTAAAGTACAAAATTATATGCATGTATCTTATATGCTTCTTACAAATCATTAGTATTTTTTCAACACAGCAGATTAGGCAGATTTCAGAGGCCTAATTAACATCTGATCAACTCTATAATTCTGTGATGCATACACACAAAAATCCCTAGATATTATGAAATAGTCTGAGGTCCAAATTTTTAGGTTAATTAAACAAGTATTCTCAGAATTTAACTTCAACAATGGCAAAAATTCACTTCATAGCACTAATAATTCTATATGCCTATGAAATTTTCTGCTTAAAATAGATTGCTTCCAAAAATATTTCTTAAAGATTGAAAATATATCTTACCTCAGTGAATCACAAAAGATGTTATCTATGTTCCATAATAGAAATCCCATTAAAAATATACCCAAGGATGTATAACCCAGTCCTCTGAGCCATGGATAAACCCTGTGGGGAAAAAAAAGAAAGCAAACTGAAATTTCGTTAAGTCATGTGATGATCAGAGCTTGAAGCTACTGCTTTCATGAGAAGGAAAAGTTTTCGTTAGTATTTTTTTTTTTAAAGCTTTTATTTATTTATTTGACAGACAGAGACACACTGAGAGGGAACACAAGCAGGGGGAGTGGGAGAGAGAGAAGCAGGCTCCTGGCTGAGCAGGGAGCCCAATGCGGGGGCCGATCCCAGGACCCTGAGATCATGACCTGAGCCGAAGGCAGACGCTTAACGACTGAGCCACCCAAGTGCCCGGTTTTCATTAGTATTAAAAGCAAACCTATCTATTAAATTCTCTAATACATTTGCCTATTACATTTAGCCATTAAAAAAATGAGAAAGAATATGCCATCAAGACTTTGCTAAGTGTTTCAAGAAAGTAAACTGAAGGCCCCCAATAACTTTATCGTCCCCTGGAAGAGGCAGGGGGGTGCTGGAACAGAATTAACATTGAGTCACCTGCTCTGTGTCAGGCAGGCACCATAGTCAATTGGATACACAAGCAAATGAATAAAATCTTCAAATAAACCCTATAAGGCAGGTATTAGTTTTTGCACTTCACTGATAAGAAAACTGAAGCTTAGTGAGTTACCCAAAATAAGAACAGTAGCTTATATATTTTTATAGCTTCAATGATGTATCACTGACTTACATTTAACTGAATATATTTCAAGTGTACATTTGATCGGTACATTTGTATATATCCATGAAACACTACAATCGAGATAATAAACATATCCATCATCTCCAAAAGTTAGTTTGCATTTTTTAGAATGTCATATAAATGGAATAACACAGTATATCCTCTTCACTGTATGGCTTCTTTCACTTGGCATGATTATTTTAAAATTCATCCATGTTGTTATGTGTATCAATACTTCCTTTCCTTTAATCGCTGAGTAGTATTCCATTGTATGGATATACGACAACTTGTTTTATCTGTCCAAATGTTGGTGGACATTTATGTTGTTTCCATTTTTTTCTATAACAAATAAAACAGCTATGAATACTGATAAGTAAGTTTTTGTATGAACGTATGCTTTCATTTCTGTTGGGTAAAAAGCCAGGAGAGGAATAGCTGTTCTGTACAGCAGGTGAATGGCAGGTGAATGTTAAACTTCTTAACGCACTGTTAAACTGCTTTCCAAAGTGACTGGATCACTTCACATGCCCACCAGCAGTGTATGAGTATTGTTCTATATCCTCACCAACCCTTGGTATAACATGGGTATTTTTTTTTTTTTAATTTTAGTTGTACGTTGTAGGCGTCAGTGGTATCTCACTGTTAATTTGCATTTCCCTAATGACTATTATGGAACATCTTCTCATGTGCTATTTGCCGTCCATGTATCTTCTTTGATAGTCTGTTGAATCTTTGTGTGTTTAAAAAAATTATTTGCCTTCTTATTGAGTTGTAAGAGTTCTTTATATAGTCTAAACATTAAATCCTTTGTTGGATATATATTTTATATTTTCTCCAAATCTGTGATTTGCCTTTCACTTTTTTTTTTTAAAGATTTTATTTTATTTGACAGAGAGAGAAAGAAAGAGTGAGCACAAGCAGGGGGAGCAGCAGGCTCCCCGCTGAGCAGGGAGCCCAACATGGGGTTCGATCCCAGGACTCTGAGATCATGACCTGAGCTGAAGGCAGCCACTTAACTGACTGAGCCACCCAGGCGCCCCTTGCCTTTCACTTTCTTAACAATGTCTTTTGAAGAAAAAACTTCGTTATTTTGATAAAGTTCAATTTATCAATTTTTTTCTTTATAGTTTGTGTTTTTTGTATCCTATTTGATAACTTTGCCTAACCAAAGGCTGCAGAGACTTCTATATGTCCTTCTAGAAGTTTTATAATTTTAGCTTTTACATTTAAGGAAATGATTCAATTCTAGTAATTTTTGTAATGGCATTAACTTTTATAATGGCGTGAGTTTAAGTTCATTTTTAAAATAAGAATATCTAGTTGTTTCAGCACAATTTATTGAAAAGATTATCCTTTCCCCCACAGAATTACCTTTGAATGTTTACTTAACATCAGGTCAGTATGGATGAATGGTCTACTTTTGGATGTTTTATTGATCTATATTTCATTCTTCAATTCATTCAATCATTCAATTCAATTCATTCAATCAAGACAATACCACATTGTCTTGATTAGTGTAGCATAGAGTAAATCAAGGAGTGTAAGTCCTCTGTCATTCTTTTTTTTTTTTT